TTACAGCTGATTACAGCGGCTCCTGGCAGAACACATCTGCAGCTCGTGTGTGTGCGTGTGTGTGTGTGTGTGTGTGTGTGTGTGTGTGTGTGTGTGTGTGTGTGTGTGTGTGTGTGTGTGTGTGTGTGTGTGTGTGTGCGTGTGTGTGTGTGTGTGTGTGTGTGTGTGTGTGTGTGTGTGTGTGTGTGTGTGTGTGTGTGTGTGTGTGTGTGTTTACTCGGATTTCTGTGACTCGCTCCAGTGTAAACACACAGCAGATATGAAGATGAACTGAACTGAATCAGCTCTGGTGTGTGCTGCTGTGCTTGACGGAGGAGAAACACACACACACACACACACACACACACACACACACACACACACACACACACACACACACACACAGGAGATGTGAGTGATGAGCAGGTTTACAGATGAAGGAGCGCGGCAGTCATCAGAGGGTTCTGCTGTCACACTGACAGAGCAGCTGCAGATGATCAGCACAGTGACAGACACACGCCGAACACCACGACTGCACCGTATACTAATGAAACAACTGACTGACGACACACAGGAAACACATCTCTGCAGGAGCACTAACAGCCAATCAGAACACTGCAGAGCGCTAGCGCACATGCTACTACAGCTACAGTGTGGGCTTGACACTGACCGTGGCTCCGTCCCGCAGCTTCAGGATGCACTCCATGGTGTTGATGGTGACGACCACCGGCTCTGAGCTCAGCTTGGTCCAGGGCACATGGATGCGCAGCTCGTGGATGTGGCCGCTCAGGAAGGTGAAGGGCAGCTTCAGCTCCTGAAACACACACACACAGCATTAGTGCGGGTCAGTCGGTGTGGGTCAATTGGTGAAATTCAGTCAGTGTGGGTCAGTCAGTGTGGGTCTATTGGGGTGGGTCATTCAGTGTGGGTCAGTCAGAGTGGGTCAGTGATAGTGTGGGCCAATTGGTGTGAGTCATTCCGTGTCAGATTAGGTCAGTGATGTTTGGTTATGGGTCAGTGAGGGTTGATGAGGGTCAGCATGGGTCATTATGGGTCAGAAATGATCAGTGTGGAACAGTAATGGTTGGTGTGGGTTAGTAAAGGTCAATGTGGGTCAGTGAGGGTCAGTAATAGTCAGTATGGGTCAGTGTGTCAGTATGGGTCAGTGTAGTCAGCAATGGTCAGTGTGGGTCAGCATGTCAGTGTGGGTCAGTGCATGTCAGGGTGGGCCAGTGTAGTCAGTAATGGCCAGTGAGGTCAGTGTGGGTCAGTGAGAATCAATAATGGTCAATGCGTGTCAGTGTAGGTCAGTGTAGGTCAGTGTCACCTGCTCCAGCACGTCCAGCCGCAGGTCCAGTTTGCTCAGCACCACGTCGCCGCCCCATAGTGACAGCTGCAGGTCTGACGGCTTCAGGTTCTTTATGTAGCGGTTCACATAACTCATCAGCAGAGGAGACACATACGACTCCAACATCCTGACACACCCTCACGCCTGCAGCACAACACACACACACACACACACACATATGCATACATGTGCATTCATATACATCAAAAGCTACAGGTCCAACATATAATATTAAATGTTATTAAATAAATGACAGTGTTCAATGGGGGGGGGGTGGTGTTGTTTTTTTGACCCAGTCATTTAAGAGTGCTTTCACACCTAGACTTTTGTTTCAGAACCTGGCATGTTTCCCCCGTCAGCGCGGGTTGGCATATGTGAATCCAGCAATCGCGCTCAGATCCACACCAATCCGTCAGAGATGGCCAGTATGAGGTGTAACGGCCGGACTGAAACGAGCTGTAGAGTGTGAAAGAACTCAAATGTGAAGGGAAAGCATGCTGAACTATCACCGAGAGCTGTTCATCCATTAGGAAAATAGAGCGGACACAGTCTTAGTTCATCTGTCATCTCTGCTGTCAGCTCTGCCTGATATGTGGTGATGATGTCTGTGTGTGTCACCATTTAAAATAAAGAGCAGCGTTTACATTCCTCTTCGTCATATATTAAATTTAGGACGCATGACAGCTGAGCGGGACTCTGCAAAATAAAGGCTGAGCAGTGTGACTCAGAGAGTTTACTCGTATGTGACTGTTTCAGCTCTTCTGGACCGTTGAGAAACTTTGCCGTGTGAAAGTGAAGCGCACCGAGAGCAAAGAGCAGCACTGGAACAGGTTTAACCGCTGTTTAGGAACAAGAGAATCGACCTACAGGTGTGAACACAGCCCCAAACAACTTATTGTAGAGCAGTAATAACACAATACTGAGATATTACATCACACTGTCAGAGACTAATACTGACCCATGCCTAATATCCACACACACACACACACACACACACACACACACACACACACACACACACACGAGGAGAACAGAAGCACTGCAGACCAGCAGAACACAGCAGCCGGCAGTGCAGATCAGGACACACACTCCAGCTGTCTGCAGTCAACAGTGGTGTGTTTGAGCACACTGCAGTGTAGTGCACTAGCCTGTTCAGTGTTAATCAATGACATTACAGAGGGTAACTGCAGCACACTGCAGAGCGGACTACAGTGACCTGATCAACAGCTGCAGTGTACTTCAGTGTTGACTACAGTAATCCGCGCTGTACTGCAGTATGATATAGTCTTCTACAGTAGTGTGCTGTGTTTATATCCGAGCAGCTGCTGTGTGTCCAGATCATCTGTGTAATGGTGACAGCATCTCTCTCTCTCTCTGCAGTGTTCACTGTACAGTGTGTCAGTCATGTCAGACTCTGCTGTGTGTCCTCCAGCATTATACACTACTGAAGTCCCTCAGACTGAGGCTGTACCCGCTGCAGGTAGCGCTCTGTGGGCCTTCACCTGGTCCAGAAGCGCCTGCTGTCATCCGCCATATGTGTACAGAGGAGCGGGAACACACACTCACGCGCGCTCTCTGCACAGCTGATCCGCGGTCAGTGCTCACACACTCGCAACACACACACTGAAAACACACACATACACAGAGAAACACTTACGGGTTCATGCGACGCGTCCGGCTGCTCCACATACACAAACACACACCACGACCATTACTTCCGCACACACAGGCTGCGTCCACGCGTCACTTCCGACTCGAAGGCAGACGTGCGCATGCGCAGATTGACTAAAACTGCTATTGGTTTAGCTCGTGTCGAACAGCAGTGTGTAGAGAGCGAATAACGCAGATTTAATCCAGCACACCTGCGCGGAACCGAGCTCACAGAGCCGGAGTTCACCTCTGACACACCAGTGACCATCACACACACACAGTTCATCAGCAAACACCGAATAACGAGCATAATTCACAGGAGACAGCAGCTATTATCGAGCATTGAACACACACACACACACACACACACACACACACACACACACACACACACACACACACACACACACACACACACACACAGACACACACACACACACAGACACACACACTATACACGGAGAACAGCCTGGATTCAAAACTAGACCAGTCGCCTTCACTGTACAAATATTCACCCATTTTGACCCAACTCAAATTGATTAAGTTAACTTAACACTTTTAACAAATTTAAGTTATGTGGATTGAACATAAAACAATTAAGCTGTAACAATGAAATCTCAAGACTTGTGTTGTTTCAGCTCACTTTAATTAAGTAGTTTGAACAAGCAAAACTATATGAGTGTAAATAAACAGCTCACCGACACCAGTTCATCATTACACCACTAATACTAATAATTAAACTGTATTTAGGCTTCTGATATCGCCGATTATTAGAGTAAACAATTACATTTACAATTACAATTACATTTGACGTAGGCCTATCATTATTATTACTATTATTATTATTATTATTATTAAGACTATTGTAACACCGAATAGCCATCAGTATTAAAGACTGACTGTATAACTCTATGAAATATTAATTGATAATTATAAAAGGATTAAGCTATATAATAATCTGTAAACAAACATATAAATCCACAATCAGCGACGCGCCTTTCCACGGCTGAATTTGAGAATTAATGAAGCCTAAATGTAGTTTATATTTGAGTTGCTATAATATGAAGCGGATGATGGCGAGTTTAAGAATATTGGCTGTATTTCTGTGTCCGTGCTGTGGCTGTGGGCTCCGCCGGTGCAGTGCTGCAGTAACGGGTCAGTCTCTGTCCTGAAGCGGCTCTCCCTGTGTGTTCGCGAGCTTTACATGATTTAATACCATCCATCCGCAATTAATTACAGGATTTACAGATTAATCTGTGATAAATGCCAAGACTTTAATAGTTTATCGGTAGATATTTACTGTAACACACACTGTGAAAATGCAGGGTTGCACACAATTCATTCAGGTTGACCCAACACAACTCGATAAAGTTAACTCAACACTTTTAACAAATGTATATGGATAAAGCACAACACAGTTAAGTTGTCCCAATCAAATCTCAGGAATTGTTATTTCAGCTCATTAATATATATACTGTATATGATTGCATATCCCGATGAAAATTAATCTCTTTATAACATTTCCATGCCGCAAATCTTCCTTCAGCATTCACATAAAATAATTAAGCTATTATTATTATTATTATTATTATTATTATTATTATTATTATATTTATTTTTTAAATAAAAACGTTAATCGTTTGTTTTGATCCACTGTTATAGCCTTCATGTTAAACTCGTTTGTGGCCAGGGCATGTTTTTGTAATTTACTCAATAATTAAATTAATAATTTATCAATAATTTACTGAGTGAAATCACAATGACCAGTAGCTATCAAATCACAATCATTATACATTCATTTAAGATTAATTAATTACACACTGCTGCACAGAAATGTATTATATATTATTGTATTATATATTCCTCATATATCCAACACAATTATATCAGCATAAACTCAACAAAATAACCCTATAAACAACAAATAAACTTCAACAAATAAAACAATCGCGTGTGTGTGTGTGTGTGTGTGTGTGTGTGTGTGTGTGTGTGTGTGTGTGTGTGTGTAATTTAGCGAAATCATTAAAGACATGTCGACTCATTTTATTACACCTTTTAAAAAGTCCAAACAAGCATAGAGGAGGAAATATTGTATTATCTGCACCTCCAGCAGAGTTTACCTGCTTCATCACACAGAGCTCGTGTTCAGCATACATCTGCTGTACCAATGCGCACACACACACCTCAGGCAGAAAGAGGAGCAACAAGAAACGTTTATTTACATCATCATCATCATCATCATCATCATCATCATCACACACACACACACACACTGAGTCTGTTATTGAGGGGTGAGTGTGTCCTGCAGGAGTGTGTCCGTGATCGTGAGTGCTATGGTTATTTTGGGCTATCGAGCTGTCCTGGGTTGGGTTATGGTTATTGTGCGGTTGGGTCCTGCTGCGGCGGTGTGTGTGTCAGACTGTGGCGCCGCAGGTCGCAGTTGCGCCGAAACACCTTCCCGCAGCGGCCGCAGCAGAAAGGCTTGAGGTCTGTATGGGTGAGAAGGTGAGTTTTCAGGTTACTTCTTTGATTAAAGGTTCTTCCGCATGTCGGGCATTTGTGAGGAGATTCCTGTTCGGATTTGAAGCAAGCACAGGATTATTCCCTTTAGCTTTCAGCACACACACTCTCACACACGCGCGCGCGCACACGCACACGCACACACACACAGTCAACAATCAATCAATAATTTAAGGAATGTTGAAGGATTTGAGACAAGGAGAAATAATCAAATAAGTCCTTAAACATTCAAGATTAGAGAAACATCGAAATAATCAATAATAGAAAACATTTAATACTCAGATTAGAGACAGAGAGAAATACTTCATTAATTAAAACATTTAAAATAAGAGAAATGTGGAGTTGAGATGAGAGAGATGTGGAATAATGAATAATGAAGCACGGCGGCGGCGGCGGCGGCATGTGTTTGTGTTTATATACAGCATATATGAGCACAGCCCGATTACAGCACGATTGAATCCATTGCTCAGTGAATAATAATGATTTATTTCAGTGCATTTAAACAGGACAGTTTTATTAATCGGGTTTCTCCACTAAAATAAGAGTTTGCTCAGAGAACATCTTCAGTATAAAGATCTGACATTTACAATCAGACGAAATATAGCACAAAACAACTACAAACTGCAGTATTTTCTCCCCATTCTTCCTCTTTTTTAATGGTATTTAATATTTTCCTCAACATATTAATCTGTGAATGGACTGATCTCCAGTGTGTGGAAATGTGATGTATCTGCACAAACATATGGAGAACATCCTGGATAATAATAAAGGGAGATCTGCGACGTGTTTAATCCAAGATTTACCACAATAAATATGGACAAACTGAAGGAGGAAATATAGTTTAAGTCAGTGTTTGACATGTCTGCTCATCATTAACCCAGCACACTAGTGTTTATTTACAGTGAATAAAAGTGAATACAGAGAGCAGGTGCAGCCACACTCCTGTTATTAAAGCCTCAGTTCATCATGCAGGATCTAGATAACGCTGGGTCGGCGGAACACATCGCTGGCTTATTTATTCAGTTGAATTTTAATGACACTTTTTAGCCCAGCGGTGGGGTTTGTCTATTCTGATCAAGCGTTGTGTTGCAGCCCAGCATTAATGTGTGTGTGTGTGTGTGTGTTGATGGAGATTCACCTGCAGGTGCAGTGTCTTGTGGACCGCCAGAGTTCTGGACTGACAGAAGCCCTTCCCGCACTCCTGACACTTGAAGGGTTTCTCCTTAGAGTGGATATATCTGAGGAACAGGCGAGAGGGGGTCAGCACGACCCTCAGAATAACCCAGCACACACACACACACACACACACACACACACACACACACACACACACACACACTCACACACACGCGCGCGCGCACTGAACTACAGCTATATTACACTAAAATGCTCGGGTGTCGTAAACAAAAGTTGGGTCAAATATGGACTAACCCAACCCCGGGGTAAAAGTGTGATGTAAAGATCCAAACATGTTTGAGTTTTTCTTGTTGAGCAGAGGAACACCGGTCACCGTTCACTCGTGTGTATTCCTCTCCGCTGTGGGTCAGCGGTGACCGGTGTTCAGCTCTCTCCACTTGCTCATGTTCAGAATAATCAACACACTCAGAGGTGTAGAATAGCGAGAACATTCTTCATCATCATCTTCAGGCGATTTTAGTCTTTAGGTTTAATTAAAGAATATATCAGCGTTTGACCCAGCGCGGGGTTACAGCAACACAGCATTCTGTAACACACACACGCGCGCACACACTCTTTATACAAACGCATACGACAGATAAACACACACACACGCAAATATATGACAGACACACTCTCTCTCACACACACACTCTCTCTCTCTCTTTCACGCGCGCGCGCTCACCGGTGGTCCCGCAGGTGGTCTTGTCTCCGGAAGGCCTTGTGGCAGATGTCGCAGGTGTAGGGCCGCTCGTCGGTGTGTGTGCGCTCGTGGATCAGCAGGTTGTAGGATTTGGTGAAGTGTCTCCCGCAGAACCGGCAGATGA